GGCTGGCAGTTTGCCCACGGCTGTATCTAGCTCCATCCTGTGAGTCATTCTGACTATTTCATAAGAAATAGTCCATATTTATAACACTGTATCTTTATTGGCCTGCTTCCTGCCATATAAGATTGGGATACCCCAACACACAAAGGCTCTTTTTAATTGAACTATGTCTATTCTTTTCTGTCTATCCTGTGGTGCTTTCAATTAGAACCATTCTTATAAAAACTTTGTGAGTTACCTATGAATTTTATTAAAATTAATTCCATTAGACAGATGCCACATCCACAAATTTGAGATAGGCCACTTTCTATTTTGGGCTGAGTGTCATGGTGCTGTGGGACATCAGACTTAAGAGCCTTAGAAGGTTTTTTGACTAGCTGAGACATTCTAGAAAAGTATGCCTTTAAGACTCTTTGAAGCCCTTTTGTCTAGCTGAAAAGGTCTAAAAGGACTTGTCTTAAATCTTTCTGAGGTCCAACACAGGATTTCACAGAAGATCTGATTCTTATTTGGAGGCCATTTTTTTACTGACAGCACCCTGGGATTTGAGAAGTATTAGCTAAGCAAAGGGAAGGGGTAGGATATCCCACAATGGAGGACCAGAATAAATAAAAGCACAGTCTCACTGGGGAATAGAGAAGAAAACCATCTATCTGGGTTCATGATGAGGGGAACACAAAATGAAACTGGAAGAGTAGAGTAAAGTCGAATATACTAAGAGAATTGACTACCATATTATGGAGTCTGCAATTTATGCTCTCAACTGCTGGTTTCCACTTGCTGGTCCAAATGTTACATCAGATGCACTTGGATAGCTTTATAATTACACAGCTTTACCCTAGAGATTTTAAAAGGTTGCAGTAGAATCTGTATCTAAGCAAAGTTCCCAGGTGACTCTCAGACTTAGGAGCCATTGCTCTAGGCAACGGTCAGCTGTTGACTTTTTGAGAAAGAGAATGACATAAAGGTAGGCATCTAATGAAGTTTTCAGTTACAAGCATGAATAATAAAAAGTGGTATTTTCATTGACAACTTTTATTTCTCTTTCATATTATTTCCCTCAGAGACCTACTTCACAGAATCAATGTATTTTCTGGCCATATACATCTAGAACAGAGGTCCTCAAACTTTTTAAAGGGGGGGCCAGTTCACTGTCCCTCAGACATTCCACACATGCGCACTGCGGGCCCGGGACAAGTCAGCTGCTAAGCAGGACAGGCAGCAGCGGCAAAAACACCTGGCGGGCAGCATGTGGCCCGCGGGCCGTAGTTTGAGGACTCCTGATCTAGAAGAACCTCAATCACATCATAATCTCATCTTAACACATAACAATAATTTTGTTTGTTTGGATTATTTTGTTAAGGAAGATAAGCCTAGTATACTGGAGGGCAAAGTCAGGAGATAGGAGGCTATGGACCTAAGTATGAAAAGATAAGGACCTTATCTAAGATGGTGATAGTAAGAATAAAAATGAAATGAGAGATCAAAGCACTGACACTAACACTTTTAGAAAAAAAAAAAAAAATCACAGAAAATGTTGAGAATCAGAACAATGCTTATCAACCATCCCTAAGATGATTAAGATCTCTCTTCACAGAAAAATTTCAGTAACAAATGTAAAAAGAATGACAGAATTAGAAATCACAATTTTTTTCAATCCCTAATGTTATAACCAATTCAGTGCTTACATCTTTAAGTGAAAACAACACATCAAGGAAGCAATCAAATAAATCCAAAAGGTGTCCAACACTCTTTTGCAGCCGTGGGCAAACTATGGCCCGCGGGCTGGATCCGACCCGTTTGAAATGAATAAAACTAAAAAAAAAAAAAAAAGACTGTACCCTTTTATGTAATGATGTTTACTTTGAATTTATATTAGTTCACACAAACACTCCATCCATGCTTTTGTTCCGGCCCTCCGGTCCAGTTTAAGAACCCATTGTGGACCTCGAGTCAAAAAGTTTGCCCACCCCTGCTCTATAGAGACAGTATTCCAGTTTCTTTAAGATGTCAAAGGCACTGCCGAAACCGGTTTGGCTCAATGGACAGAGCGTCGGCTTGCGGACTGAAAGGTCCCAAGTTCGATTCCAGTCAAGGGCATGTACCTGGGTTGTGGGCACATCCCCAGTAGGAGATGTGCAGGAGGCAGCTGATCGATGTTTCTCTCTCATCGATGTTTCTAACTATCTATCTCTCTCCCTTCCTCTCTGTAAAAAATCAATAAAATATATTTAAAAAAAAAAAAAAGATGTCAAAGGCACAATAGATCATAAAGAAAACAAGAGACTATTCAGGATTAAAGGTGATACCCTATTTAATAAAAGGCTAATATGCAAATCGACCAAAAGGCGGAACCACTGGTTGTTATGACACACACTGACAACCAGAGGGTAGACACTCAACGTAGGGGGAGCGCCACTCAGCCAGAAGCCAGGCCCACATCTGGTGAGCAAGAGGGTGCAGGCCGGACTGAGGGATCCACCCCCCGCCCCCCAGAGTACACGAATTTCATGCACCGGGCCTCTAGTAATAACATAACAACCAAATATAATGTATGAACTTCCTGGGATCCTGGTTGTAACAAACCTACAGTAGAAAGACTCGGGGACAATCTGAGGCAATTGAATATGAACTAGGTGTTAGGTTATATTAAATTATTATAAATTCTGTTAGATGTAAAAAGGTTTTATGGTAATATAAAAATGTTCTAATTTTTAGACATGCTTAAATATTCTGGGGCACAACATCATGAGGTCTATAATTTAAATATTCCAGCCCCACTTCTAAATAAATAAAACAAACACAACAAAAAGTTAATAATTGCTTAAATCTACATGATAGGTATATTAGTATTCATTGTACTAATCTCTCAAATTCCCTGTTTGCCTGAAATGTTCTTGATAGATGCAAATGAAGGAAATTATTAGTAACCCTTCTGTTGCTTCATTAAGTTTCAAGTTAAAGAAGTCCTCTAAATGTTCTAGTGCACAGATACATGAATCAGATAAACCATATCTAAAACAGTCAAAATTGTGATGCATAGAATGGAAAAACCAGGTAAACTGTATCATTTCTTAATGAAACTTATGTATACCAGTGTACCATATATGCACTTTCAGGCTTCAAAAAGACATCTGGGCAACAAAAATTCAAACTTTCCAAAAAATATATCCAACAACAAGCAATAAAGGTTAACATAGTATGTTCCATCTAACACTTGACTAGAAAAACATTTTCTACTGAAATAAAGTAGAAAAATGATTATGTAACTTACTATTTACCAGTTAATACTCATTTAAAAAGAACTAAAGCCTATTTTATTAAGTAACAACACCAAAACCTGACAAGTTATACAGACAGTATAAAACTCTAAATTTAAGTATTTAAAATACTTGATAACTTGCATACATATATTAGCTTTCTAACACCAAATTTAAGTTCTTGGTTTTAAAAGCAGTAGTCTTTCCACCACAGCTATCAGTAGTAACCTCAGGAGAGTTCAAAGCATTTGACTAAATAAACTAGTGAAGGAGTAGAATCCAATACATAAAACTTATTAAGATTTAGGAAGTGAAATATATGATCCCTGGGAATCCCCAAAACTCTTTTAGAGGGTATAGAAAGTTAAAACTATTTCATAATACTTTTTCATTGCATTGACACTTCTACTTAAGGTACAAAAGCAGTGTTGGGTAAAACTGCCAGCACTTCAGCACAGATCAAGGCAGAGGCACCAAACTATAGTAGTAGTCACTGCTTTCTTCACTGCCATGAACTTGTAATAATTGGCCAGTTTCACTTACAAATGTCCTTGATGAAGCAGTAAAAATTATTAATCATAAACCCTGAGTACAGGTGGTTTTAATATTCCATGTGAAAAAGGAGAAATATGTTTAAAGCACTTCTTTATATTATATTTTAAAATGTGTCAACACTTGGTAGATCTGCATAATTCAGTGAGCAACTATTTTTCAATGACTAATGCATAATGTTTCAAAATCATGTATGAGTAAATAGCCATTCAAAGTTCAAGATAGATCAGTGTATTTTAATTCAACTGAGTATAAAAAGCTTACTGATATGGTTTCAGATTCCAGATTGCAATGAACATTTAAGAAACTACCACTTGTCAGTTTTGGTGCAGTATCAAAGAAGAATATCTACAGTTATGTATAAAAGGTATTACTGTCAATACTCATATGTATGAGGCCAGATTGTCATCATATAGTATTTCAATTAAATCATCACATCACAACACTGACTACAGAAGCAGATATAAAAATTCACGTGTCTTTTTTAAAGCTAGAAATGAATTTTCAGAAACTATAAAATAATACTTCTCAATCAAAAATGATTTTTGTCCCTCAAGGGACATTTGGCTATGTCAGGAGATATTTCTGATTGTCATAACTGGGGAAAGTGCTACTGCCATCTAGTGGGTAGAGGCCAGTGATGCTGTGAAATATCCTACAATGTACAAGACAACAGATCATCCAGCCCAAGAAGTTAATAGTGCCAAGGTTGAGGAAACCTGCGGGAAAAGAATACCACCCTTCTCACATAGTTATTTTCATAAAAAATGTGTTATTCATAGTCACATGTAATGGGTTTACTATTATAATATTAAATGAATAATAAACAATTTAAGAAATTCTTAGTTTTAGTTTACAATATAGTAAATGTCAATAGGTAAGCTCACATAAACAAAAGCTCTTTGGCTTCTTCAATAATTTACCAGTGTAAAGGGGTCCTGAGACTAAGAAGTTTGAGAATCAATAATTTGAAGAATGGTATAACTAACAAAGTATGCTAGAGAATATAAGAGAAATTAAAAGACTCAAAAGGAAAATGTACTCATTTCAAGAATAGTATGTATGACCAAAACAAACAAAAAACCCCTATAAAGCTAAAGGGTTCAAAAGATAGAAGTTATGATATATCCAAAATGTCATTCTTCCCTTAAAAAACAACAACACAAAACACATTCAAACCACAACTCTTACCCTGACTATGAAGGCTTGCAGGACTAAAAGATGGCTGACACGAGTCTTTGGTTGGAGTTGGATAAGCTTCTTTCCCTTGGCGCTGACTCATCTTTCCTGGTGTCAGAAGTTGAGATTCTTCACTGTTTGCTATAACAGCTCAAGGAAAAAAGGGAAAAAGTATTAGAACTTCAGCGCTAGATTTACACAATGGCTAGTTAATAACATGGAACAGAACTATGATTGAACCTGCCTCAATGTTTATTAATTTTACCAACTCAATACTTTAATAAATTTGCATAATTGTTTTTCTTTTACTTTGCTTTCAATTCCCCCCAAATTGATAGGTATGTATGAGTAAAAGTATACAAATTATGGAGATTATAAAAATGAAAACATATGCAATTGATAAGAAAATGTACTGCAAGATTTACTGTGCTATTAATATTAACTCTTTATAAGCAAAAGCCATTTCACAGAAGAAATACAAATGGTCAATAAACATATGAAAAGATACTCAACCTCATTAGTGATCAGAAAAAATACAAATAGTAGTATAAAATAATGTTGTACATTCATTAAAATTTCTACTCTAATTTCTAATTTTCACAGGTAGTAGGTATAATTCCTGTTCTAGAAATGGGAAACTTGAGGTTCAGAGATTGCCTCGTCTAAGACTAAGTAATAGAGGTAAGATTCTAACTCAGGATTTGGTTCCAACGTCTGGCTCTTAAAAGCTTGCTGCCCCAATAACCAGTTTAAATAGTGTTTCAGGCTGCTATTCTCCCACTTGGCCAAGCTACAAATAGAGGAAAGCAATGCCCAGTTCCAGAGAGAACAGTAAAAAGAAAAATACTCAATGAAAGAATCAGGCAAATAATTGTGAGCAACACCACAGTGTCCTAGGATTTCCACATCCTTTTATTTTATGTTTTTGTGCTTTCAGTCTACAAAGGCTTTAGTTTTATTTTGAGCGAGAATGATTCTGTCTTCACTCTAAATTTTTAACTTAACCAGAGCTTCATGTTTGCATTTCAATCATACTGTTTAATCAAATTGCTTTATCATGTTTTCTACTGTGCTGTTTTCAAAATTATATTTAACTCCTTAAATTTCAAAAATACTTCCATTTATCATCCAAGACATAAAAAAATTATTTCCCCATCAAGTCCATTAAAAAAAGAATCTACTCACTGATGACTCCAAAATTTATATATCTTCTCCTGAACACAAACTCACATACCCAATTGCCTGCCTTATAACTGCCTCTATTCTTTTAATTTTAAAAAAAAAATTATTATTTCGGGGGCGGGGGGGAGGGGGAGAGAGAGAGAGAGAGAGAGAGAGAAATATCAACAATGAGAGAGAATCACTACTGCCTCCTGCACGCCCCACACTGGGGATCAAGCCTCACCCCAAGCATCTGCCCTGACTGGGAATCGAACCAGTTACCTCCTGGTTCACTGAGCCATGCCAGCTGGGCTAATTGCCTCTATCCTTTAATAGGCAACTCAAATTTATCCAGAATGTAATTCTTGATTCTGCTTATCTTCCAAACCTGCCTCTCTCTAATTCAGTTAGTGGAATCACTATTCCCTTCCACCTTGTTCTCAGGCCAAAAACCTTAAATGTATTATTCAATGTTCCTCTTTCACACTTCACATCCCATTTATCTCTGAGAGCTTTATATTCTACCTTCAAAATTTATCTGGAGGCCTTCTATTTCCCCCCACTTATACAACTACCACCCTGTTCCAAGACACTATTACCTTTCCACTGGATCACAGCATCAGATTTCTACCTAGAGACCAGACTTAGGGGCTTATTCCTGCTTGTGCAGAGTTCATTCTCTACATGGAAGCCCAAGCAATCTTTGTAAACCATAAATCAGATCTGCATCATGCAGAAGTCTTCTCAATGGCTCATTACACCTATAATAAATTCCATGGCCTAAAGATTCAAGAGTGTCTGGCACCCATTATCTTCCCAACCTAATTCTCTACCATTCTCCTCTTTACTCCTTGGCTCCCAGTCATAATGGTCTTCTTGGTATTCCTCAAAACACACCATCTTGCCCCAATCTCTGGGTTTTTATACTTCTTGTTCTCTCTACCCGAAATACTCCTACCCCACATCTTCTCACTACTAGCCCCTCTCATCATTTGTGTTCAAACGTCATCTCCTCAGAAAAGCCCTTCATGGTGCCTTTTGATAAATAAGTTCCCATTTTTTTTTAATATATTTTATTGATTTTTTACAGAGAGGAAGGGAGAGAGATAGAGAGTCAGAAACATCGATGAGAGAGAAACATCGATCAGCCGCCTCCTACACATCCCCCACCGGGGATGTGCCCGCAACCCAGGTACATGCCCTTGACTGGAATCGAACCTGGGACCTTTCAGTCCGCAGGCCGACGCTCTATCCACTGAGCCAAAGCGGTTTCGGCAATAAGTTCCCATTTTAATATAGTATAATGTATCAATTAGTTTATTTTTTTCCCACTAGTGCCCATTCCACCAGTTATACTCTAACACTTTACATGATTTTTATTATGTTTTTATTACATGCTTTCATTAATCTATAAGTTCCATAACAGAAAGAAATTTTGTCTTATTTTCCCATAATTCCCGAGTCCTGGTATGGTCCTGGCATATTGAAGGTGTTCAACAAAATTTTGTTGAATGAATCAATGAACAACTTTTATAGTTTTATGAAACTTCATTATGAAAAAGTATATGATGTCTCCTTCAATTGCTGAATCCAAGATCCATTTAACTCCTAAAAATTATTATTGATTAAAAAATGTATGTTGCTGATGTAGAAAGACAAATTGACCTAAGGAATCTAACAGAGAGCTCGCAGAAACAAACCCATGGTTGTGGAGTCCAGATATACAATAAAGGTAGGGAAAGAAAAGACTATTTAATTACTGATACTGGGAAAATTGGTTTTCCAAATTGGAAAAATAGGTCCCTACCCTCAAACCACACATAAAGAATAATTTTATGAAAATTAAAGATATACACGTAAAAAGCAAAACTTGAAAACTTTTATAACAAAATATAAGAGAGTATATTTATAAATATGGGCTAAAGAATGATTCCTTAAAAAAAACAAACACAAAGCATTAACCATAAAAGAATTGATAATTTCTACCACACTAAACAAAGAAAAAGGTAAGACTTAATTTAATCAAAAGAAAACAAAATTAAAAACAGAAAACAGTAGAAGATATCTGCAACATATATAATTAACAAAAGATATCTGTAACACATATAATTAGTATCCAGAATGTTTTCTTTTAAAAAACAAACAAACCACTACTCATAAATAAATTTGAAAAAGACCAATACTGCAATATAAAAAATGGGGGCATATGCATCAAAAAGTATAAAATACCAAGAAGTAAATTTAACCAAGGAAGTGAAAGACCTGTACAGTAGTCTCCCCTTATCCATAGTTTTGCTTTCCACAGTTTGTTACCCGCGGTCAACTGCAGTCTGAAAATATTAATTGGAGAACTCCAGAAATAAACAATTGTGTGTCATTCTGAGTAGCATGATGAAATCACATGCCATCCCACTCCATCCCATCTGGGATGTAATCATGCCTTTTTCCAGCATATTCATGTTGTCTGTACAATATAATAAGATATTTTAAGAGACCACATTCACATAACTTTCATTAAAACATATTGTTATGTGTTTTATTTTATTATTAGGCATTGTTGTTAATGTCTTACTGTGCCTAATTTATAAGTTACATTTTATCATAGGTTGTATGTATGTATGTATAGAAAAAAGCATAATACATATGGGTTTGGTACTATCCGCGGATTCAGTCATCCATCGGCAATCTTAGAATTTATCCTCAGTAGATAAGGAGGAACTACTGTACACTGAAAACTGTTAAGACACTGATGAAAGAAGTTGAAGAAGATATAAATATATTGAAAGATATTCCATGCTGATGGAATAGAAGAATTAACACTGTTAAAATGTCCATACTACCCAAAGCAATCTACAGATTCAATGCAATCCCTATGAAAATTTTAATGGCATTTTCACATAAATAGAACAAATAATCCTAAAATTTGTATGGAACCACAGAAGACCCTACAGAGTCAAAGTAATCTCGAGAAAGAACAAGACTGAAGGCATTAAGCTCCCAGATTTCAAACTATATTACAAAGCTATAGTAATCTAAACAATATGGTATTAGCTATAAAAAAAAGTCATACGGCCGAAACCTGTTTGGCTCAGTCGATAGAGCGTCGGCCTGCGGACTGAAGGGTCCCAGGTTCGATTCCGGTCAAGGGCATGTACCTGGGTTGCGGACACATCCCCAGTAGGAGATGTGCAGGAGGCGGCTGATCGATGTTTCTCTCCCAACGATGTTTCTAACTCTCTATCTCTCTCCCTTCCTCTCTGTAAAAAATCAATAAAATATATTTAAAAAAAAAAAAGTCATACGATCAGTAGAACAGGACAGAGAGCCCAGAAATAAACCCACACCTACATGGGCAACTAATTTATGACAAAGAAGCCAAGAATATACAATGAGGTAAAGGACAGCTTCTTCAATAAGTAGTCCTGGGAAAAGTGTATAGTCACATACAAAAGAATGAAACTAGATTGCTGACACCTTACACAAAAATTAACTCAAAATGAATTAAAGACTTGAATGGAAGACTGAAACCATAACACTCCTAGAAGAAAACATACACAATAAGCTCCTTTCCTTGGTGATGATTTTTGGATCGGACAATAGCAAAAATAAATAAATGGGACTACATCAAACTAAAAAGCTTCCGCACAGCAAAGGAACCATCAACAAAATGAGAAGATAACTAAATGTGAGAAAATATTTGCAAACCAAATATCTGATAAGTGGATATAATATCCAAAATATATAAAGAACTAATACAACTCAATAGCAAAAAAGAAATAAAATCCTAATAAAAATGGACAGAGTATCTAAATACACATTTTTTTTCCAAAAAATACACAGATGTTCAACAGGCACATGAAAAAGTGCTCAACTTCATTAATCATCACATAAATGCAAGTGGTAACTACATAAGATATCATCCTACACCTCCTTAGAATGACTATTATTTTTAAAATCAAGAAATAAAAAGTGTTGGCAAGGATGTGGAG